TTCGAAGACCTCTACTCAAAGGGGGAGTCCATCGCTCCCTATTCGCTTCCATCAACTCATCAGGAATACCGTTGGGTCTTGCCGGATCGCAAGCAAAAAAAATGAGATCTTTAATTTCTTATCTCCTATACAGGGGATAATTTCCGCACCTTTGTGCCTACAGTGTTTTGACAGTTCTGTAGACGTGGAAAGATCTCAAGGCCCATTTCCCGTAGAATCATTAAGGTTATTTGGCTCTTCCTCTATGCTAGGTTTCTTTAAAGCTATGAGGATGTTCAGATACTGTCTCGCCATGGGTTTGGATAGGTTACAGTTCTTTCGGCCTTCCATGTACCAATAGGGCAGGAACGGTCGTAATAACAGATCTGCCTCTTAGGGTTTCGTTTATTGAAAGTATTTCTCTTAGGCTTACAATATTAAAAGAAGCACTGAACAAATATATTTAAACTCATCAGGAGATCAAAAACACAACTAAAACACAGAATAAAACGAAATCTGCTTGGCCAACCGGTCGTTTTTAAAGGAAAGCTGGATCGAAGAGTACGATTTTGGCTGCTTTGCGGAAAATGGCATCTTGTGGGAGGGAGTTCCAAAGTCTGGGAGCAGCCACAGAGAAGGCCCTGTCTCATGATCTCACCAAATGCATCGGTGAGGGTGGTGGGACTGAGAAAAAAAGCCCCCCCCCGGTGATCATAACACCCGATAGGCTCATAAAAATCAATGCTGTTAAAGATAAGGGTGGTGATATTATTCCCCAAAGACTACAACCCAGTGTGCATTTACTAGCGAGTAAGATGTTGAGGAATCGGCTGGATAGCTCAATGGTTTAAGTCTCTGGCTCCGCAGGCAAAGGTTGGGTGTTCGATTCCTCCACTGTGCATCTCCAGAGAGAAGAGCCAGCCTGGATAGCCTTGGGCAAGCTGCACAGTAATCCCAGGGGAACCCCCCCCCAGAAGAAGCGAATAATCAACCACTTCTGAGTATTAACAACCTGGAAAACCCTGGAAAGGGTTGTCAGATGTCAGAATTGTGTTGATGCCACATGATTTGTTGACAGGATAGTCCAGTGGTTTAGCCCACTGAGCCAGAGGCTGGGGGTTCAATTCCCCACTGTATGCAACTACTGTAGAGCCAGCCTGGATAGCCTTGGGAAAGCTGCACAGTCCCAAGGATCGCTCCCCCCACCCAGACGAAGAGGATGGTCAACCACCTCTGAGTATTCCCTTTACCTGTGACACCCCAAGAAGGGTTTCCATAAGTCAGAATGGACTTGACGGCACACAACAATGATGATATTGACAAAACTGCTGTAGATTCCTCTTTAACATAGGCTTCTGGTCAGGTACAGAATGGCGAGAGCTAGGGTGATGTCGTGGATAGAGAACTAGGAACTAGGGACACCTGGGTTCGAATCTCTACTCGCCGATCCCAACTCATTTTGTGTGTGTGTGTGTGTGTGTGTGTGTGTGTCAGTGTCACTGGTAAGGCCACTCCTGGAACTTTTCCCATATCCTGAAAAAATGTATTAGGGTCAGAGTAAGTTGGAAGCAACCCAACAATGCAGAACTGTAGGGATGGGAAGAAAGTTCATTCCAGCTGATATTTAAAAGGAATTTGTCCCAATTAGCAGCCCGGCAACGACCTCTACTACTGCACTTGAGCAACAGAGTAGAAGAATCAGGATGGGACGAATAGAATCGAGAAGGAGGCCAGCAATCCTGGAGCAAAGTTCAGAGGAAGGGGCAACAAGGATGATCAGGAAGCTGGAAACCAAGGAGGAAAGACAGAAAGAATTGGGTATTTTTTAGCCTTGAGAAAAGAAAACGGAGGGGAGAGAGGACAGCGCTTCTCGAATACGTGAAAGGGAGTCCTACAGAGGAGGGGCAGGATCTGTTCTCCATCCTCCCAGAGTACAGGGCATGCAACCATGGGCTCAAACCAAAGAAAGCCGGATTTTGATTGAATATCAGGAAAAACTTCCTAACTGTTAGAGCAGTACGACGGTGGAAACGATGACCTTCGGAGGTGGTGAGCGCTCCAGCGCTGGAGGCATTCCGGAGAAAATGGGACAACTCTCGGTCAGATCTGCTTTGCTTTGGATTCCTGCCGTGAACAGGGGCGCTGCCCTTATAGGCCCCTCCACAACTCTATGATTTTATGATTCTATGAATACATAGGACTGTCAGAACTGGACTTTTTTTAAAGTTGAGGTTCTGGATTGCATCTGGTCCCAGCCTAGCGTCTGTCTTTCGAATCAAAATACGTTTCCTGCCCGGACTTCAGAGAGATGAACGCCGCTGCCTGCAGCCACCCGAAAGGAATCGGACGAGACCCATTATTATTATTTACTCGATACAAAGTAATTACGCCGCCAAAGGAAGCAGCATTTCCTTTTTGATCGTCCTGAAACGGACCAAAGCGCACTGACATTTCAGGCTTGTTAGCGCTTTCGGAAATGAGCGTTAATTGCTCTTTCCAGCAGTCGTGTTTCTTTGACTGTAACGACAATGCCGGGATAAATAACTGGAGCCAAACAAATATGGAGGGATAGAAAAATAACGATGAGTTAAGTGAAGCTATTTCTCTTGGCCTCCTCGTGGGAGAAAGGTTTTAACCATCCGAAGGGGGTTTGGCGATGTGGGATTTTTAGCACATTATTCTGCCTCCACTGTTTATCGCTCTGTTTCGGAAAAACATTGGATTTGCTGGGATTGGCGTCCAAACAGCCATGGTTCCAATGGGAGTAGTAGTCATGCAGCCCCTATAAATGCTCTATTTTTTTGATTATTTTTGCCCTCTTGGCAGTGGGAAACATAGTCTGCAAGCTTAATTTCCAGGTGCTACAAATTTGTCCCTTCTGGTTATTTTTTCGCCTTTGGTTCCGTCTCATCTACCTCGTTTCTGTTGGTGCTAATTATCGTGGATTTGGGAGTATCTCACTCTTGCTCTCTTCTGGAGTCTGACAAGGGAGCGCTAAAGTTGTTTGAAAAGAAAAAGAAACCCCTGCAAGAAGCAGCGTTGAGTTGGTGAGGAAAGTGTCATAGCGCTAAAGCGCATACTTACCTGAACGTACCAACGTAAGGTGAACGGTAGGCAGATGTTAGGGAAATGTCCATTTAAGTCAGTGCTTAACGAGGGACTTTTAAGAGGTAAACCTGCTCCATCTGGAAGAGCCCCCGATACTAAAATATTTAGAAGGAAATGCCTAACAAAATGACAAGATTATTACTAAAGATTGGATACACTTTTAATTAATAAGGATTGGATAAGGATAATAAGGATTTTCAACTGAAGAAAAATGTTAGCACAATTACCAATGAGAAGGTTTCACCTATTATTCCAGATCCTCACCTGCTATCCAAAGGCGATCTTATGTTCCTGGGCCTTCTCAGATCTCAATTGGGCATGTCATGGGGAGACAGGGCTGGTTGAGACACATATTCCTATTTTGGATGCAGCCTGTTAATTTATTCATCTCCGTCTGCCTCCGAAATGGTCATCAATCATTGTGTATCTTTGGCAGGACCTCACTAGCCCTCTCCTGCTGAGACCCGCGCGGTTGAAGCGTCAACCAATAAACAAGTTACAAGTCCCTGTTTTGCTTGGGTCATGCCTCAGCTGGCATCATGTTCTGGGCACCACAGTTTTAAGAAGGATATTGACCAGCTGCAACTTGTCCAAGGGAAAGCGATCAAGATGATAAAAGTCAGCAAACAAAGCCTTCTCATTGAAGGCGTGGGGCATGTTTCTGTTGCAGGGTGTTGATTTTTGTGGTTGTTAAATTTCTCGAGTGGTGTAGCAGAAGCAGTGGACAGAGCAGAAATAACGTCAAGTTCCCCAAAATTATGTACTTCTGGTTTTTTCACTAACTGGCCTTTAGAACAGCTCCCTCTGAGACGTTTGTAAGAAAGAATAAAAAGTTTCCTTACTTACAGTTGAGCAGATCAAGCAGCAAAAACTGATCAACGTGACTGCTTTCTACAACAGACCCCGACAAACTCAAGGGAGGGGGAAAGAGCTGAGCAGAGAGGCGGGATTCTCTTTGGAATTCAGAGCCAGGAGAGAATGATTGGTTAGTCCTGGATTGATTGACAGTCACTGCAGCCGAGAAAAGGGCCTTCCCGCTACACCACTTAGAGGCAGCCTGCAAGGTTTTGAAAATAGGTTGGATAGCTCTCCGTCAGGCGGCAGGTTGGGCTAGATGGCAGCCCCTGGGTAGATCTTCCGACCTGACAACTTGGTTTGACAGTAGGAAATTGAGGTGCAACATAGTTTCTTTCTGCAGGACAGTTACATAAAACAGTAATTGGATCCAGGTTAATTTTTTTTCTTTAAAAGGCATTTTACATTTTTAATCTGGAGAAATGTACCAAAGTGCCTTTAAATGGCAGCATGCTGGAATCTCAGCAGGCCTCAGGGGGGGAGTCACATTGAAGGCACTTAAATGGGGGACAAAGTTAATGCAAACATAAAATAATTCCTTCCTCAAGAGACCTGCATTTAATTCCGAATTTCTTCCCCGTTCTGTTCTCCTCTGGCACCAGATCTGCTAGGTTGCCGCGAGGGGAGAGACATTTTTGTTCTGAAATCTGCATGGGGGGGCTGCAAACCCCAAAAGTTTGATGGTTAAAAGACGGAATATAAACAGAGACAACCCTCCCCCCGACGTGTTCCCACTCTTTATTTGGGACAAATGTTCTTTCTCCTTTCTTTCATGTTAAACATCTAGCAGCAAAAGAACGAGAAAACAGGTACTGTATATTAAGCCATATCGGAGATGGGGTTGCTTTGAGTGCTCAGAAAAGCTCCAGAAAAAGTAGCCATTTTTGGACTACGCCTAGCTGGGGACCATGGGAGTTGTAGTCCTTCAGCGAACTCCCCTCCCCAGCCTTGATTATGAGTCCATCAAACCCTGGGTTTCAATCCATATTCATTATTTAGCAAAAGTCTGTGGAGCTGAATTAGAATCACCACTTTTTTCTTTGCTCCCCCCCAAACAGAATCCTACGTGGGAAAGCAGAATTTGGGTGGCATCTTCTTTGCAAGAGAAAGGAGCATATGTTTACTTTCTGGTGACCGGAAACAAAGGTGAGGAAAAGCGTGTGACATGAGAGCCATCTTTCAGCCTTGGTGGAGCACCTCTTCTAAATACGTGCTAAATGTATAGGTTAATTCTGATCCCTAATTTTTTCACATATAGGTCTAAATCCCAAAGCTTCTCAGTTCGGGAAGGGGAAGAAGCATTCTGTTTGTTATTAATTCAGAATTACTGAGGTCAGAGAAAACTTGTGTCAATTTCTGTAGATCACCCAGAGATCAGCTAGTCAATCCCATTTTTTCCTCCTTCCGCCTCTATTGATCTGGAGCCCTGCAAATATCAGCGGTCTGCCTCCAACAGCATTCTTGAGCGCCTGCCAAACCCGGCTGCCTTATATAAAAAAAGTGTTTTTTTCCTTGTGCTTTTAACCACAATGATGTCGCATTGTTCTAGGCACATTTTCAAAGCAGGTGGCAACGGAGGTTCCCAGCTCTGCCAAAGCATCCTTTTGGAGCAGAAGGCTGGCTTTATTAAAGATCAAAAGCTGAAAGCAAAACCTTGGGGAAAAAAAGCAACTGACCTTAAAGCACTTAGCTAATTATAAGTGGCCCACCCACACCATAGCAGAATGCTCACGACCTTACATTTGATGTGGGGTGGTGGCTTTTTTCACATCCTTCTAAATTGCTCAAAAGGAAACGGAGGTAGTGAGAGATTTCTTTGGAATCCTCCCAGGAGGTGGGTGCGAAGTGGGTTTGCCCAGAAACCGGGTATTGTTGGAAACAGGCCTTGTTGCGAAGGTATTTGAAAGCAATTTGGTTTGGGATGAATAATGAAGAGCCATTGGCTTTACAAAAGACCAGCTCCTCAGCTGTAGATTTGGGTTCACCCAGCTGCTCAGGCGGAGAACCAACAGGCGCAACATCCTCTTCCTTGCACCTGCTAATATATGCTATAATAGGTGCACCCAAGATTCATACATAATCCTAGGCCCTTTTTTTAAGCCCTCAAAATACTGCTGTTTGGCTCAGGTACCAGCAGCAGGGCAGGCAGAAGACAGACAGGTGGAGCTCATTTTTCTGCCACACCTGTTTACCCCTCTGCAGGGGCCAACAGGTGGAGCCCATCATCTGCCACACCTGTTTACCCCTCTGCAGGGCAGCGGAGATCCAACCGGTGCAGCCCAGCCCCGTCTCGCTGCAGCGAGGAGAAATGCCAGGAAGAGATATAGATATAAAAAAAAATATGTATTTTTTCAAGGCACAGGTGGGCGGGGCGAGCGACTCACACCTTCCCGAGGTGGGCGGGCGGGGCGAATCGGTTATGCAAATGAGCCCTCCCGCTTCGGCCAATGGCGGGAGGGCAGGAAGGGATCAAAGGGGGGGGCGCCGGACGAATCCGAGGGCGGCAAGGAGCTTGTGAATGGGGAAGGAGGGAGGGAGGCGAGGGCGGAGGAGGCGCGCGTTCAATCCCGCTTCTGAGCCAGGCTGCAAAAGCGCTCGGTGGAGGGGATCGGGGTGGAGGAGATCCCCTGCGATCTGGAAGGGAAAAAAGGAAGGCAGCTGAGGGGGAGGGAGAGAGAGAAAGAGAGAGGTGGGAGGGAGGCAGGGAGGCAAGAGCCGATCCGAAAGTAACTTTTGCAAGGCGAGGCATGGCAGCTGCGGGTAGCCGGGCGTGGACGCCTCTCTGCGGCCGGGCTTTGAGGTAGGAGGAATAGCAGGCTCCAGCGGACAAGCCCGGTCTCCTCCCCATCCTTTCAGCTCGAGGGGAAGGGAAAGGGCGCGCAGGATCGGGCGCAGAGTTGAGGATCTGCTCCCCCTCCCCAGCTTTGCCCCCCCCTTCCCGGGGTGTATGTGGGTCTGAGCGTCCCACCTCCCGGGGAGAGATCGTCTTTGCCGCCCCGGTCCGCTTGCCCGAAGGGATTCGGGATTTGTCGGCGCGGGAGCCGAGGAGGAGGAGAAGAAGCAGAAGCAGCAGCAGCAGCGCCCGCGGAACGGCCCGCCACCAGCTGCGTGGCCGGGATGGAGAACGCGCACAGCTTGACGGCCGACGAGGTGCTGCGGCGGTTCGAGGTGCGGGAAAGCTGCGGGCTGAGCGCCGAGCAGGTGCGGCGGAACCGGGAGAGATACGGCCCCAACGGTGAGTGCCCGAGGTGGGAAGCCTCGCCTATAGGATCGGGGGGTCGGGTCGGGTCGGATCTGTGGACCCTGACACGGGATGGGCGCATCCACGCGCTACCTTGGTCTCTCTCCCCCTATCCAGTCGAAGCTGCCTGCGTGATTCGGTGGGTCCCCCCCTACTTTCTCGCTACGACAACCCTGCGAGGTAGGCTCGAGGTTTCATCCCAGGCCTTTTGAGTCGGTGGCCTAGTAGTCTACCTGGCAGGGTGGTTGTGAATAGGAAGCAGCCGAGGCTTGGCTGTTGCTTGCGCTCCCTGCAAGAGCAGCTGGTGAGAAAGGTAACACACTAGATCCTCAAGAGCAGGGTTTTTGCAAGGCTAATGGATCCCAATGACTTCCCTTGTCCCTGGGCGGTTTATTTCATAACAAGAACTAGGAGAAATACCTCACTTTGCGCAAAGCTTATTTCACTTCTCTGGAAGCGATTGCCCCTGAGCTCAGAGGGAATGAGGAACCCACTTGACGCAGGCCTTCCTGCTAATTAAAAGGGCCTGATCCTCCAAATATGGGAGTCCCCCACTCTGCTGCTTCCTAGCCTAAAGCACACACAGACTGGGGGGCACAGCCCTCTATCTGGAGGGACTCATCAACTGCTTTCACCCCCCGCTCTGCTGCTTCCTAGCCTAACCCTAAAGCACACACAGACTGGGGGGGCACAGCCCTCTATCTGGAGGGACTCATCAACTGCTTTCAGGTCACCTACAGCCCAGACTTGAAGGTGGGGGGCCTTCCCACCCCCCTTTATCTGCAGCAAGTTAAGGTGGTAGACTGCCTCTGGACATGGAGGTTCCGTTTAACGATTGCAGGCATTAGTATGACCCTGTCTAGGAGGTTTCCCTGATTCTGAGGGCGGGTGCACTGCCTCGTTTAAAGGCACATTTACCTCCCCACCCACACCACGGTTGCTAGATCAGATCAGCGTTTTGTTTCTCTTCCGGTCAGCCAAACCCTTTTGGAAAGTTTGCAAAACGCGGCAGGCCTCTCTCTTGTGGTTTGTCTTGTGAACTTGCTATTTACAGGTAGACTGCCTCTGAGCATGGGGTCCCTAATGAGCCACAGGAGTTGCAGCTGCAGAGAAGGGAAGTGGCTTGACTTGGGGGTGTTATATTGGGGGGGATCCACCACAGGTGTGGGGCAGGAGATCCGTAGTAAGAAGCCTGTGGCCTTTCAGAGACGATTGGACCCCTATCAGCCCCATCTCGCCAGTGTTGAGGGATGATGGGACTTTTAGTTCCATGGCAGCCCAGGTAGTCCAGGACAGATGGGGGGGGCAGCCTTGCACTGTTATTATGCGATGTACTATCAACTCTATGGGTGACCCATAGATATGAATAATAGCACCTTTTTTGAAGTCCTACCATTAAAAAAAAAAACTTTGCCAAGGTCTTACAAACTAAAGACAGTGGCTTCCTTTACAGTATTGAGTCAATTCCTCTCGTGAACGGTTTCCCTCTTTTCATACTGCACCTCTCAGTAGCTGCTAAATGTTCACGGATTTGGCCCAACACCGAGCCATATAACGCATCCCTATGCACTGTATAATTTCATCAAGTGGTTTCCTAAGGCAATGAGGGCTAGCTGCATTTATTTACAGTGTATGTAGCGCTTTGAGTAAGTTGGTACACAGGGATAAACTCCCTAGGTTGGTAAAGAATGTATACTTTGAAGGTGTAATATGCTGTTATTTTCTTGCTGGTATTATCCTGAGATAATTTTCAGGGGTGTAATTCCTCTGTGCTGGAATTCAAAAAGCACCCCATAAATTTACGCGTCCTTATTTGGCCCAAGCTTAAAACTGGCTTTGAAAAACACTGGTCTAATTCGACTTCTTGTAGGCCAGCGATTCATTCAAGAAAACCTTTTTCCTTTCTGGTCTCCCTTGGAGAACTGGTCAGTTAGCAGTCTCGAACAATTAGCAACCCGTCAGCTTAACGAGAGCCGTTTCCCTAGCAACGGTAACAACATTTATGTTGTTTTAATATTTGTAGAGTAGCTCAGCTCGGCTTTGGGGGCTGATTAGAGGTTTTCCCCGGACTTTTTGGCCGTCCAGAGGTTTTTTTGATTTCGGCTCCCAGAATGACCAGCAGAGACATCTGGATGAGCAGCTGCTGAGAGCCACCTACAGATCTGAGTCATAGGAAAATAGAGTTAGAAGGAACCTATAAGGAAAGCTGACAGGCGATGATCTGATTTCTTCTTGAATGCCTCCAGCGTTGGAGCGCTTATCACCTCCTGGCTTTCATTGTCATACTTCTCGAACAGTTAAGAAGTTTTTTTAATATATCCAGATCTTAAGGGCCAAGCGAGGCTTCCATTGTCATACTTCTCAAACAGTTAAGAAGTTTTTTAAATATATCCAGATCTTAAGGGCCAAGCGAGATACCACCAAAGGTTTCTTTTCATTTAAGGTGCTTTTTTTTGCAAATAAGGAGGGGGTTAGTTTTGGTGGAAAATCTGGTAGCTTTTGAGGTCTAACCAGGGATAGAGGGGGATTTAACCCTTTTCCTCCCCTGCTGATTGTCCTGGAGGGGGGGCCCTCCACTGAAGTTAGAATTTATATAGGGAGGAAATGTCGTGCCCCCCACCAAACCAGCTAAACCATGCTGTTCTCTGATGAAAAGAAAAGACCCATTAACATTTATAGAAGCCCCTGCTTCTCAAAGATTTTGTAATCATTTATAATCATTTCTCGCGTTTTTAAGAAGTTCATTTCGTTCTTGATCACCGGAGAGGCAACTGGCATACATTTCAAAGCTTGCTAGAGAATGGCTCTTTTAATAATATTAAGCGCTTTAAACCTATTTCGCGGCGGGCGGCGGGCCAAGTCTTCCCTTGGGATTAGGCTAGAGACGCTCCAAGTTTCCATCCTTTTAATATACTGCCTCCTTTTTTGGACAAAATATATTTGGTGGCGACCAGGAAACCGCCGCGTGTCAACTTCCGTTTATTTAAATAAAAACCTGTGCGCCGGTTTCCGGGTTTCGTTCCAAGGACCCGTCACTGTGCTTTGAACCCATAGGTCTGTATTTTTAGGTCCATCGTTATAGGAAATGTTGTAGGGTTTCCCTGATGATCACCCCGGACGACCACAATTTCCCCCCACCCATCAGGTGCTGAAGTATGTTTTCCCGTTCCTGAAAGCTTCCCTGTCTGTGTCTGTCTGTCTGTTATTTTCGATGGGGCAACCTAAAAAAAATACATGTAGTTTTGGAACCTCCTGTTTTTGTCCATTTCTGTCTTTTCCTGGGCTCTGCTGGGCCCATGGACGGGTGCCCTCTAAGGCTACCAAACGGAGCTGTCCTGAAATGGATCAGGTCCGTTCTGTCCTTGAGGTCTTCTTTGTCAGCTTCTCTCTCTCTCTCTCCATCCAGTCTGGTCCTGCAAGCTTGGGGAGGATGAGCGTTGTCATTTCACACCTCTGTCCGGCTTCAAGTCAGGAAAGGCTGATCTTTCGTGGACCACCAGTTGGTCTCCAGAGTTTCCGACGTGGTTCTTTTCTGAGATCCACCATCCATTTTCTGGGTGAAAACCAGCAGCTCTTCCGATGGAGTTGAAGCCATTTCCTTAGGGAACGAAAAGGATATTCTTCAGTTTCACTGAGAGACAACCTTCCTGTAATGATGAAGCCGTTCCAAGTATGACATTTCTGCCCCTCCACGGTCAGGCAAGGAGAATCCAACTTCCACCCCTACGTCTGTAGGTCTCCGGCTTCTCTCTCAGATATTGTCAGACAGGGTTCTTCTAATGCAGGTTTCCCCAACCTTGCCTCCTCCCGGTGTTCTTGGACTACAACTCCCAGAAATCCTGGCCAGCACAGGGAGTGGTGAAGGTTTCTGGGAGTTGTAGTTCAAGAACCTTTGGGGAGCCAAAGTTGGGAATTGCTGTTCTGTTGGTTGAAGGCTGGCGACGATGAGTGAAAGATACTCACAAAGGGGTATCCGGCAGGTATGAGTTACCCGTCGTGATCTTAGCGAGAAATCTAAAAGTGTTACTTAGGAGGTGGACTATACACCTCCCCTGGCCTGGATAGCTCCGACGTCTTGGGAATCTGGTGGAAGCCGTGGGTTATCGGGAAAAGAGGCACATAAACACCATAATTTGTGCAAAATTTATTTATGCCTTATTTGTGTGGGTGTTTGCTTGTTTCCTTCACCGCTCGCTACGTGGACGCCGTAGATATCCACGGAACAAAAGTTAAGCCTTTGTGTCCGAGAGAGATCCTAAAAAACATGGAATTGGAAGTGGGCGACAGACGACGGCTTTTTGCGATGGCTTAACGTCGGTGATGTTTGGAGATGGGGCTGAAACCCCACCGAAATAAGCAAAATTTGAAATACTGTTTTTGTTTAGCTGCTTGAACGTGTATCCTCCTTACGGTCTCCGATGTGGATATTTTAAATTTAATTTTAAAAAAAATACACAAAAGCCCAAGGATCTGTAGAATCAACATCCGTGAGAAAGTGGGATCAAACGGTATGGGATTCAATGGCAATTTAAATGAAATTCGAGTGCAGAACACCCCAGTTTCCTTGGGGTTAAGGGGCTTGTTATCCCATCCCCCCCCCAGTTGAGGCTTCATGGCAGAAAATTTGGTTATCCTAATGTCAACAAGGGTGGAACTGCTCACCGAGCGAGTGTGTAAACCGCACCTGAGTCAATATTTGTCTAATTTTAAGAAGCGGGTTAGAAAGGTCTCTTCAGCCCTGGCGGCATTTGCATATGCAAATAGCTTTGATGAAGCTGAAGTGACAAAAAAGGGTGAGCTGGAAGATATTAAAACAGATGGAGGAAGGGATGTGATAGGTTTTAAAAAAAAACACGCATACACACATCCACAATAACCTTGTACGCTAAATTGAGTTTTAGAAACAATCTGTTCTCAGCTGCACATTCTTTTTAAATAGCTGCCTGGGGTATGTGTGTGTGTGTGTGTATGTTTGCATTTTTTTAAAGGGAAAT